TAAATGGAGATATGTAACTCTTCGTTCAGAATTGAGGATTTTATCCTTTGCCTTTATTTTCTAAGTATGAAAACAATATACTGGTACAAATGTTTGTTTGAAAGGAGTGAAATTGGACACAACAAAAGTCATTTGCACTATAACACTTTGAAATAGTGAAAAATCAGTGATACAATTTTGTTTCATAAAAACGAATTGTGAATTAAAAAATTATTTGGTCTAAATTGAACATAAAATATAAGGGATGTATAAAAAATAGATTACACAAAAAAGTATAGAGGTGTGTGATATTTTAGCTGAGCTGCTGAGCTGAGCCTAGCCTACAAGCCCTAGAGATCGAGCGCCAAGTAAGAAAATCAATTGCAATCACAGAACGTGTCTGAGGAGATCACACGATAGGGAATGGCAACGATAACGAGGATAATCATTTCAGGAGGGCGGGAAACCATATATTTGTGACGTCGCCTAGACCTATTTTCACTAAGTCTGAAAGGCATTTGCCGATTACCCAACAAGGCCTACAAGATCTTCTGTACTGTCCTCTTAACTTGCACCTCGGTTCCCTCCTGGCAGATGGCTGCCACCTGTTTGTCCAGGATTGATTCGTACCATCCCGACACTCCAGTTGCCATAGCTACCACATCTCCTGCAGAGCTGTTGGACCCACAACTGCATCACAGTGGTGTAGGATGATAAATCTGCAAATGTTTTGTATCATCCCTGGTGTAGCATGAGGTGTTGTGATTCTTACTACCCAGCCTTGGTCCAATACCTATGTTATTACAATTTTAGCCGATGAGAGGATAATCCAGACCTGATGGGGTTATAGATGCTAACAACCTATTTAGAGCTGGTAAATTTGCAATGTTCTGATTTCAGATCCAATAGATGTGGCCTCCTACGTACTCTACACCCTGGGCAGCATCACAGGAGGTTCTGGAGTACTTAGCAAGAGACAGGAGCCTCCAGTTAGGATCCTAGTGTCCTGCTGGTATATATTTATACTTTTGATCTGCAACAGCTACACCTCCAAGATAATGGCTTGTCTTACATTGCCCAGTTACACACCAAAGATAGACTATGGCCAACAACTTATTGATCAACAATTTTCTTGGGGTCTACCTTACCAAGAAAACACCCTCTTTAAACAATTAGACTTGGATGTAAGTGTATTTTATAGAGTATTCATATTTTAAACATAAGACAAAGAAAGGAACCAGTGTTCCCACTAAGCTGGGATAAACATTTTAAAGTAACCACATGATGATGCTATCTAAAAATTGTTATGTACATGAATATTTACAAGTGAAAAACCACTGAGCATAAATGTTCATTTGGCATACTCTCCTTAAAAGTTGTTAAAAGCAAAACTACGTATTTATAAGATAACATGTTTTTCACATGACGTCATTATTCATCACTGCCTTAATTATCGTAGCACTGCTTGTGGTTGACTGTTTTTTGTAGCCCTAATATGAACATTTCCTTTTCAGCAACACTGGCAAAGAGAGTTCACAAAGAGTTATATGGTTTACAAGAAATCAAATTTGAAACAATTGCTTTTGTCAAAGAGATTTACCGTGGTTGTACAAAAAATGGAAAGCTGTGACTATCTTTTCATGGATGACCCAATTGACGAAGATATAGCAGACGACTTTAGGGTTATGAAAGAGGATATCAAGAATTATCGATGTGCCATTGGTTTCCGCAAGCACTCTCCTTTGTTGCCAGCCTTCGATGAAGTGTTGAAGCGTTTCATTGAAACAGGTTTGGTGAAACATTTCAAAGAAGATGCTGAAAGAAGATTTCAGAAGCCTGCGTACAAGCGTATATTGTTTGATTTTGACAATGGTATTCAATCAAAGGAGATTGCTGCATTTACTCTAAAAAATTACAACTTCATGATTTATTTTTACTTTTTTGGGATGCTTATATCCATAATTTGTTTTATCTTAGAACTGTGTAGTAAGCAAATTATTGGATTTCTTTATTGAACAACTAGTTTCATGATTATAAATCAAATGTTATAAATGTTTTTATACAGTTTAATGATTTGTGTGAAATTACAGTATATTTTTTATTGCTGTTCCTATTTAGATTAATACTGGAAACAGAAATCAATAAATGACACATTTTCTCTGTAAAAAATAATAGTTCAAAATTGATTGTATTTGCAATATTGTTTAATTTTGTTGGAAAATGTCTTTATTTAGCGAGCAACTGATAAGATTTTCAAACTAAAAGGAAAAAACTGAAGCCAGATCATAAAAGTTATGGAAAATAAATTATGAAAGTTTTTTATCACTCCGTACAGAAAGTAGCATAAATTTACTTTTTATGACAGCTGAAAGCAAAGAAAATAATGTCTCCAAACAGCTGATTTTCACTTATTGCTCTAAATTTACTTTCTCTTGTTTCCCATTAGCCTACCACTTGTGCTAGTGTTTATTTATTTATACAGTTTGATTGATATAGCTGTGCCAGCTGTTTAATTCGAAAACTACAAGAGATATCAAAATAAGTTAAACGGTAAGTGCCTTGAATTTTTTATTTTAAAAATTGTAGTCAAGTCCAATAAAATATTTTAGCCGCGATTTTTCCAATATGGCCGCCAACTTTGATATTTCATATAGAACACCCTGTATTTTACGATGTATTCCGGTAGAAAATGTAATTTTAAAACAATTTTACTATTGTGTTTTTTTTTTTTTAAACCTAACCGTTTCAGAGATAATAATGGTTAAAGTTTTGAAATTTTGGCATGAGAAACAGTTTCGATAAAGGCCTAAGCAAGCATGCCAGCTGTTTTAAAACTATTCAAAATTTCACAACTTTAACCATTATTATCTTTGCAACTGTTCGGTTAATGAAAAAAAAAACACAAGAGTAAAATTGTCTTAAAACTACATTTTCTACCGGAATACATAATAAAATACAGGGTGTTCCATAAGAAAAATCAAAGTTGGCGGCCATATTGGAAAAATGGTGGCTAAAATATTTGTTTCGACTTGACTACAATTTTTAAAATAAAAAATCCAAGGCACTTACCATTTAACTTATTTTGATATCTCTTATAGTTTTCGAATTAAACAGCTGGCACACCTATATCAATCACCCTGTATAATTTAAATCAGCAGTTTTTACTGTTTAACAATCTAAATGTAAATCGGTTATTTTTTATGTGTGTATTTTCAAATATAGTGATTAAAAGTATCGTTCATAACCAAAAGTGATTTCTTGGTACTTGCTCCAATTATTCCTGTCCTCGGCTTCACCTGTACGTGAAACATACTCTCACGAGCTCGGCTTCACCTTGCATGGGAAATTTGGTGTTACTGTGTTTTGGCTTTGTCTCACATAAGATAATTGAACGTGCACTCGAAAATGCCACATTCGGAACTAGTAATGAAATGTACAGGTTGTCCTGAAAGTAAACATCCAAACTCCGGGAAATGGTTCTATAGGTCAAAATAAAAAGAAAATAAACATTTTTTTTTCTAAATTACTTTGTTAACCAGATATCCGCCATTTTTTTTTTTTTATATCTTTGAAAAATTTTAACCGAGGTAAAACAGTCCCACGTAAAAAAAGTTATCTTAATCCAATTAAAATTAAAAAATGACGGCCATTTTCATTTTTTAAATTAATATTGCTAAAAATGGCTAATTTTATGAAAAAATTTCTAATACACTCGAATAAAAAATAACTGAAATAACACAATTTTTAGTTGTATCCTATAATGAGACAAACCTGACTAGCTTAGCCTAGTTCAACGTACATCTTATTTTGTACCATTCATCTACTTGAACATTAATGTTAGCAAATCAACCAAAAAAACACCTCTAAAATTGCTAATACACTCTTCAAGTAGTCATTCAATTGTTTGAACATTGTAAATGTATAAAAAAATGTTAATTTTAAATATACTAAAGGCTTTGAATGCATTTTCAGTGTAGATCGGAAACAAAAGTTACCAGATGTTAAAACTGATATTTTTGACTAAACATAAACCCTAGGTCTTTTGCTAAAATAACAGTAATATTATTTCACAATCAAAAAGACAAGTTTAGTTTGTAAAATTTTCAAAATTAAAAATGTGAATAAGATGCTCTCCTATCTTACCATTAATTCTAACTGTTATCTATTCGAGTAAAATGTTCTCATTAAGATGAAATATGATTGTTAAAACTTCTTGTTTCTGGGCAGGTTTTGTGTGTCTTTTCCAGTATTAACTTATATAAACCATTATTTTGATCAGTTTTTAATGTATTGGTGTTGTGATATAGTTAATTAAGTTATTGTGTGATTGTTGTTTAAAATCATTATTTTTAGAATATGTAAAATTGAAGAAATATAGTTGTGAAATTCTAAAATTGTAAAATCTTAACAGTTTGAGGTTAAGTTTTATAAACAAAATATTGATTGATACATATTTTATTGACAGAATTACTCTATTCTTTTTTTATTCAAACCTTTTGTAAAATTGTTACTAAGAATATAAAATATGTCTTGTTAATTGTGTCTTGAGTAAGATTTAGACTGATTTATGATGGATTAAAATAAATCAACGAGGGAAAACAATCAAAGAATTTATAGTATAAAACAAGGAAAAGATGAGCCATAGAAATTTTTCATCATTTGATGAAGGAGAAACAAACGATAATCCAGAATGGAGGAAAAAGGCATATAAAATTAAACATGCAAATTCAAGTGCAAACAGAGTAAGGAATAAAAAGAATTTTAAAATTTACAGTGATGATGAGGATAGTGATAGAAACTATAATGATAAAAGAAAAAACAACAATGACAATTTTCAGCCTCAGGGTTTTACTAAAAAATCCAATCGTCGTTATCAACAGAAAAGTAGAAATCATGATTCCGATGATGACAATTATCATAGTTTCAGAAACAAGCGTGATGACATATATACTAATGAAAAACAAGTAAAAGCCAAGAGAAGCTTTGGAAGGAAGAAACAGGTTGGTTCAGATAACCTAAAGAAACAGAGATTAGGAAGATCCAAAACCAATTTTAATACAGAAGTGTTTCCTAAAGGATCAAAATCCTTTGACCCTCAAAGTAATCTCAACAGGAATTTTGAGTATAAGAAAACACCAGAAAATGATTATTTCAAATCAAAAATTTCCTCTAGAAAATTTAACCGAAATTATAAAAGGGATTCCTCAAACGAGACCCGGGGAGCTAACTTACATGATTCAGATTTTGAAAACGACTATACAGAAAGAGAGGACCACATAAAATCCCCAAATGTAGAGAGGCTAAATAGACGGTCTGAATATAAATCATCAAACCGTTACTCGACTACACAAAAAAAGAAACAAAAATCTAAAATATCAAGACCCACCTACGATGAATATAATAGGGAAGTATCATATAGAAAGAACGTAGAAACATTTAAAAGAGAACCAAACTACGATTCTAACGATTTAGATTACAACATGGATAAAGTGGAAGGGAATGAGAAGGATGAGTTCAGATCAGAAGAAGAGAATAATAAACATTTAGGTTTTTCTGATATAAGTGATGAAAGCAGTGTAAGTGACAAAGAAGATGAATTTTCAGAGAGCGATAGTGATAAAGAATCATCTGGTGAGCCTACAGCTAAAGAAAAGTTAGTGAATATCATTGCTCGATCAGTCTGGGACCCTGACCCAGGAGACCCTGCTAAAGACAAGGAACTTCAGCAACCTTTCAATCACATAAACTATGTAGACACAGATACACCGATGTGTGACAACCAGGAAGACTGTATGGACGTAATGCGACATCTAAAGGAGAGGGACAAGACTATCAAATACAAGTAAGTAAGCAATTAAATTATTTTGAGAACAGGGTTTAATGGGGTACGAATTGGGGTTTCCAATTTTTGAATCAAAACATACAATTTTCCATTTCTCTCTAAACATTTGTGTGGCTTAAAACAGCAAATTATTTAGTGTGCTATAAAAAACAGTAAAAACTGCAATGTTTTTGTTACAGACAAGTATATAAATTTAAAATTCCCACACTATTCTTATGGAGAATAATTAAACTGTTATACTTAGCTTATGGATATATTTAGATTATTTACTAAAACACACTTTATTATTCTCCCTATAGCAGCAAACCTAAGTACTTGTTAAACCTAATGTTTTTTAAATAGGGAATAAATCAGAAACATCGAAGGAAATGTTTAAGTGAAAATCCAATCAGGTGAATGGAAATTCGCTCAGCCTGCAGGTTTGCTGCCACGGGGCCATTTAGTGGTGTATGTACTGTACCACAACAATAGTAACCGTTGTGGTAACATCGGTAACTATGGTCCAATCAAACATGTGTCATGGTGAATTCTGTATATTTAAATAAGGAATAAATCTTACATGTTTAAGAAAATGTTAAAATCTAATCAGGCAAATGGAAATTTGCTTAGTCCACAGGATTGCTGCAGTAGGAATATTATTTTTATACTATATGTTTTTCTCTTTACTTCAATGTGGGATTGGTAAGAGGAAGAACTAAAGTCTTATTTTAAAACTGTTATTTCAATTTGCAATACAAAAATTAGTTATATATTGTTTAACTTTTACTTTTTAGTTTAATAACTTCCCTACATTCATAATTCAAAAATACTCAACTTTTCGTGCTTCAACTTTTTGTAAAAACTGTACCTTCTCCAATCAAGATTTGATAGTGATGTCAATCACATCTATCCCACCAGAGGAGGTGTAAGTACATACCCAAGGTTTTTTAAACTGCAAATCTTACAAATATTTTTTATATTGTGAAATTCCTGTATATAGAAATACCGTACCACCAGAGATTAGGGATCAAATCAAATCAATATGCCTTTATTCTCGAGGGCTTCTCAGTACAATATTGGTTTACAGAATAACTCACATCACTGAAACTAAATATAAACTTGGGAGTTGGAATCCACGGGTATCACTTCCAGTGTACAAACATGCAATAAACGATTGGCTGTTGAATGTTAGCCTCGATCAGTCTGAGACACTCATAAGTATTACTCATTAGTATACAATACATAATTAATACAATATGTTACAAATTTAAATCAATACTTAGTTTACGGATATTACTTATCTGCGATAATCTATCCACAGCACTCCTACATTGCTTAGTCTCAAGCCCTCCTGTACCTGTCGTTCAGCTTATTTTTTACCCTAATAACTTAGATTGATTAATTTTGATTTAATATTGATTTTCAACGTTTATCAAAACGACGAGTGCAGTACTCGTCCTGCACACAGGTCTTACATGGCCAGTGCGGGACTATTTGTGTATGTTTAGGTACATAAACTGTACATAAAAAAATTAAACTATTTTTGACTTGATTTCAATAAAATTCACATAATATTTTGTCAACGGTGACATTTTTAAGTGTGTATTATTTATACATTTATATTATGGTACCTGTACAGGTTTCTTTACTGGCTTGAGAGGACATAGTCCTAAAACAGCCTCAGTAGGTTTTCAGCCCACCGGAACTTCATGTCACTGCAATACAGTTTTTATTGCCTACAAAAGATAAATGAAACAGTATGCTTTATTATTTAAGGTAGTCAAGTCATTTTAAGAGAAATTTGTTTATATTACAGTTTCTACATTGGTGGAGACAATTTAATATACGAAGGGAAAGGATGGGTGGCTGATGTAAACGAAGCGACTGGCTACAGAAAAAGGTGTTTAGATGTGGCTTTCATTGGAGTGTTTTCAGGTTTGTTTATAAAATATCCACAGGATTAACTGAATATAAGGGATGTACATGTAGACATACAGTATTTCATAGCTGGGTAGTTGATTGGTGACAGCTCGCTTGGTAATCACAAGGTTTCCGGTAGATCTTGAGAAAAGTTAGTAGTGATTGATAGATCAAAACTTCACCCATCTGTCCTTAATTATTGGGCTTTTAATAAATGATCCTGGCTATAGAAACAGCTGATGTTAGTCAGTAACAAAGCTACACGCATCACATTGCATTCTACATTCATCCTTTATTTATATTTTAATTAGAATATGACAAGTAGCGTTATCTCAATTGGTAATATTTACAATATAATACTTATAAAAACAATATAGTGATAAGTAGTCATAATTACAAGAATGAGGATGATAATTGCAAAATACCCCTTATAAATGTGAGCGAAAGATAACTTTGCTGTCTAGTAAGCTGGTTTTTCAAGCCTGGACATAACTGCTTTGACCAGGTTTTTGCTCTAGAAATACTAAGTCAGTAGGTTTTCTCTCCAACAACAGCCTAACACTGTCTGTGGGAAAGGTATTAAACATAAATTCAACAATCTTGCCTCTAATCCAGTAGTTCTGTTTATTATCAACTGTTGATAATACGGTGTTGAGATTTGAGAATACTGTAAACATTTTTTTTAGTTTTTTTAGGACACAATTATTCTTAGGGATATATACTTACACTCCCTGTTATTCAATAGCCCACAATGGTCATATACTGTGTCCTGTGTCACACAGATAATTTTTACTTAAAACGAATAAGACTCGAATAGGACATAATCCACCCTAACCTTGCTGTACAATCTTCCTTTGAGTGAAGAATATTATTTGGAAGATAAATATAACACTGCTTTCATCCAAATAATAAAATAACTATAAATTGAAGGTGGGTTTTAAAGGTGTTTGGATTAAATCTGAGAGTCACTTAAGAATGAGCTAACTTTGGTAAAAGGAAATTGCTGAAAAGTTAGAATCAGAACGATCCTTTGCAGCGTTTAGATTGGTTTGTCTTTGGAGCCAACAGATAACAACTAATAAGTTCTGCATACATCCACCTTGTCAAGCAGGAAACACACTAGTCCGACGCTCTCCGATCCGACAAGTCTCCGACACCTTCTGACAAAATTACTTTGCATGGCTTTAAATTGACTATATCCCACTAGTCCGACGGTCTTCGAGACGACACCTTATGATTAATCTCCGAGACCTTCCGACAAAAATACTTTGCATGGCTTTAAAAGGACTGTAACCCACTTGTCCGACGCTCTCCGATCCGATGCTCTCCGATCCAAAGCTCTCCGATCCTACGCCTTCCAACGACATTGCTCTCTGCGGCATTGTTGTCGGACGTCGGATCCGATTTTTCTCCAGTCTGCGTGCACCATGCCTAGATTTGTCACTGTCTAGCTTTGAGTTTGACATGTAGACGAACTTTTGATTGAATGATTGAAGCAGTTTGAGAGTATCCCTTTTACAGCGTGCAGTAGGTGATAAAAGCAGCCTGAATATATTATGATGCTTTCAGTGATACAAGTTCTATGGATTCGAGTGGTGATTGGTTCTTAAATTGTGGATCACCTATTATAGAAAAAAGATTATGCCAAAAAAGAACTATTGGATGAAAAAATAATGACTTTTACTACTCGAGCAGCCAAAATTAACAAAAAAAGCCTGAAACATCTTAATCCTCGTCGGTTACTGACGGAGCCTGTCAGACCAATGGGTTATTACCTTTAAAAGTGCGGAAGGTGTTAGAGACTTGTCGGATCGGTGGCGAGCGTCGGACTAGTGGGTTTCCTGATTAACAGGTACTGTTACAACTGAATACTGTGCTCCAGTCTTGCTGAAACAGGGTAGTAAGAGCAGTAAGAGGCATGTGAGCCCAAACACACATGACTACAGTAGAAGAAAATACCAGTCCGCCCCTGACTTTTTTACATAATAATAACATGTTTATTGCCACAAAACATCATACAAAATGAACATAATTTAAAATTAACATAATTTGTGAAATACAAGTACTGGTGTTTTGTCACATTTGTTATGACTTTAATAATTCTATACTCATTTGTCTCAGATGACTTTTTGTTATGTTAATATCAAAAGGAAACAGAATTTCTAAACAATATAACTTATGCAAATAAAATGGAAAGTTTATAAATCAGTTAATATTACAGAACACGTAGTTGACTAGACTAGAACAGCAACTAAAAAGTAGTTCAAAGCCCCCCCCTCACGGACCAAAGTACCAATGTACTGGTGATCTACCACTAGACCTTCGAGGTGCTAAGGATATATAAGTGGAAAAAATCATTTATGATGTTTAAGAGAAAAAATTTAACTGCAATAGAAATAACAGTTCACAACAGATAGTTTTTTTACAGGGATATTTAAATTGTACATTTCATATTCCTAAATTGTTTTTGTAGAAAACATAAATTTTGACTGTAAAATTCACTATAGTGTGCATAATGTTTTAACCTATTTAAAGTTGGACACCCGACGATCCAAATACTTAAAAATGTCTTAGAGGAAATATGACCACTATCAGAGTTAACTTTTTAACTACTTAGCAGGCAAGATTTTACTCTCTAAGTTTTTCTTGTTTGGATGAATCTGTCTGATGAGAATAATACCCCTGTTTGTTTCAGTTCCTAAACTTCCTCAGGCATCAATGCTTGAACAATCACTTAGTTTTCTGAACTATTGTATAATGAGTAAAATGATCTATCAGAATTATACCTGCACAATATTCAGAGATTTGCACACCCCAAATTAGAATGGTAAGACATTTAACCAGATAGGTTTATCTCTTTTAAATACTAAGAAAAAGTGGAAAATTCTTGCCTTTTTTGTGATGGTTTATTTAATTGAATGCAAATTTCTTTATCAAACAACTTGGATATCAGATTGTCCAGGTTAATCTACTGCTATTAATATAATGTTTGGTTCTTTGTGATTTGCTAACATCATATCATTTGGTATAATTCAAATATAACACTACAGACTTCATACAGATGAGAACTCTCCCCAACCATGGGCCTATAGAATATATACAGGGTGTCTTGGATTTTGTATGGCCTTCTTTGGTGAATTTGTGCCTTCCTTGTGATATAAACATAGGTCAAAAATGTGTACATAGAGTGTGTATATAGAGTAAACTATCTGTATATATGTGATTATCCCTAAAATTGTAATAATTAATGATCAATCTTATCCATTAACATGAAACATAGCACGATTACTAAGTCGGAATGTGTACAATTGCAAATTTCTACCGTTTTCTCTTAAAATTGGTGGAACTTTGAATTTTTTGACAAATAAAAAGATCTAAATCTGGATGAAGTTGAAAAATGTGGTGTTTCGAAACAGTAAAAAATTTGCTTAACTTAAAGGGGTCTTTACCATATATTTAGTAACACAGCTGAATCTCAAGTTTGTATGCAATGGATCTTAAGTTACGATATTTATAAATATTGAGTAAATGTCAAATTCAGACAGTTATAGATATAACTACGTTCCTTCAGCACATAATTATATTGTAGACTATGTCAGGATGCAGAAGGACAAATCCACAAAAGGGAACCAGGAAGTTTGAGGACACCCTGTAAATGAACATAACAATTGAGGATGAAATATCATGTTTCAGTAATACGGCCTTCTCCTCCAATGCTGATCAATGCCTTTCATTTGGTAGAATTAGGAATTTCTACTGACAAAGTTTTGAAGGGCTTTACAAACGATTTCAGGATGTGCAACAGGCTGGACTGATTCACTTGTTCAGCCAAAAAGAAATTATTTAAAAAATATATAGTTTGAATAAACATTATTTCACTACTAATTCTGTCTTTAATTTTATCAAGCACCTCTCTCACGCATTCCTTTCAGTTAGACAAGGACAAATGTATTAGGCCTATTTTAAATTATATTAAAGATTAAACATACATAATAACATACAGTATAAGTTAAGTGCTTCTGAATTTGTGATAACATTGATGTAACGATCTCTTTGGTCAAGCTTGCCTTTAAATTTGGAAGTTGCTTATTCAATCCCAAGATAAATCAATTATGTATCAAAATGCTGTTAGTTGTTGATTAATTAATGGTGTTATCTAACCATAGGTCGTTAGACACCAAGAACAGGGTTTGAAGCTTACAAAAAACCTAACAATGCTATACACAAAACACACGAAACAAAAAAAACCCTTGCCTCTACCAGCGAACTAAGTAATTTTCGATTGTTTAGAAGGATTATAACTGAAACACTTTCTTAAATTTGTCAGATCTATTCCCTTTTTAGTTTTTACATAACATTAAGATTATGTTGAGTACTTAGGTTTGCTGCTACAGTGAAGCTAGTAAAGTGTGTTTTTGTTGGAATGTTACTTTCTTGGTAAAAAGTTAATTAATTAGCCTAATTAAAACTAAAATACAGGGTGTATTGCTGCTTGCAACCATATGAACAAACTTTGTCACGTTATTCATTATGTCCAAAAGGAACGCAAAATGTAATATAACATGTGTCCTGTCTCATTCCGTTTTCGGTCTATCTGTCCTGTATGTGAGTTTAACTGAAACGTTCATAACTCTCTAATGAGCTAATAAGCTAGAGCTGCAGCGTTGAAATTCTGTAATACTAGTTACTTTGTCGAGTACGGGATTACCATACGAGTCCGGTAAACAAACTTTGGACGAGTAACGTACGATAGTTTACGCCATACTACTAAATCTGTACAAATCCTTATATACAGGGTCCTCTTGAAACTAGACAGACGTAGAATTAAATTAAATGTTGAACTGATAACTGGTCATGGAAGATTCAGGAAACATTTACAACGGATGGGCTTATATGATGGCGAACCGATCTGTAGGTACTGTGATAGGTCAGAAGAGACAGCTGATCACTTACTCTTTGATTGTAACGAGCTCTCTGACGCTAGATTGATAATTCTTGGAAATATGGCTAGAGGTAGATACCTTCCTGAGGATGAACTAATTGGGAAGCTACAGGCATTCATTGGGCGCCTTAACTTGTAGTTGTAGGTCAACAAGAAAGCAATTGTCTGGGGTGTGCAATAATTCAATATTTCGGATGAAGTGCTTTAAGGTCTCGACCTGCCACTGTTAGATAAGATAAGATAAGATATACAGGGTGTCCCGTAAGTAAACAGCCAAACTCCGGGTAATGGTTCTAGGGGTCAAAATAAAGAGAAAATAAAAAATATTTTTCCAAAATCGCTTCGTTAACCAGATATCCGCCTTTTTGTATTTTTTACATAATCATTTTTATTTGTGGATTTTTAAACCGATCTTTATGAAACTTGGTATGTATGTTAAGGTAGAAGAGACCAGTGCTAGAAAAAGATCATCTTAATTCAACTTAAGATTTCAAAATGGTGACCATTTTAATTTTTTTAACTTTAATGACTGAAAAAACGGTTAATTTTATGAAAAAAATGCCAAGTATACTTTTATTTAGCATTTTTAATTCCCTATCAAACTATACCAAGTTCAAAAAATTGAATCAGAAATAGCTTAAATATTAAGATTTTTAGTGGTAAAATGGGGCAAAAGGACTATTTAGCCTTATTCTACCACATTATACAACTAAAAATCGTAATACTTCAGCTATTTCTTATTTAATCTTTTTGAACTTGGTATCTTTTGATAGGGAATTGAAAATTCTAAATAAAAGTGTACCTGACATTTTTTCATAAAATTAACCGTTTTTCAGTAATTTAAGTTTAAAAAATTTAAAATGGCCGCCATTTTGAAATTATAAGTTGAATTAAGATTATTTTTTTTCTAACACTGTTCTTGTTCACCTTAACACACATACTAACTTTCAAAAAGATCGGTTTAAAAAATCCAAAAATAAAAATGATTATGTAAAAAATACAAAATGGTGGATATCTGGTTAACGAAGCGATTTTGGAAAAAATGTAAATTTTTATTTTCTCTTTATTTTGACCCATAGAACCATTTCCCAGAGTTTGGCTGTTTACTTACGGGACAGCCTGTATAACCACAAACTCATTACAGTACAATAGTAGCCTACGTAATGAAACCCCAATTAATTGATTAAGCTGGCGGCAAACAGCTGTTTTCTGGACTAAATCCTTGCGTGGGAAGTTCGTCAAAATAATGTAGCCTGGCGTAAAAATAATTGTTAACATTTTTTACATGTATACAGAATTCGAACGCTGTAGCTTAAGAAGTTAAGGAGTTATGAATGTTTTTTGTAAAAATTACATACATATAGATGGACCGAAAACGAAATTAGATAGAACACATGTTATATACATTTTTTGTTTCTTTTGACATGCTGAAAAAGTGACAAAGTTTGTTCAAATGGCTGCAAGACTAAGACTATATTCATAAAACTGCATACAGCAGTTTAATCACCCATAAAAATAATAGTCTATAAGAGTTTTAAATTTGCAGTTTTATCAAATTTCCCTCCATTTTCCAAAAAAGCGGCAAAATGTTAAATGTTAAATAGCATCTCGTAAAATGTCACGAAAAAGAAGGGAAGTTGTTCATTTAAGGTTCTCTGTAAAATAAATGCCTAACAAGTTACCAGTTACCTACTGTAACACTTTAGAGGTGAATCACCCTGTATGCAGGGTGATTGATATAAGTGTGCCAGCTGTTTTATTCGAGAGTTATAAGAGATATCAAAAATGTTAAATTGTAACTGCATTGGATTTTTTATTTACAAAATGTTGGTCAAGTTGAAAAATCATTTTAGTCGCAATTTTTCCAATATGGCCGCCAACTTTGATTTTCCTATGTAAGACCCTATATTTTATGATTTATTTAGAAAGTAAATGCCATTTGAAAACGTTTTTATACTTGAAAATTTTCTCTAAGGCTACTATTTAGGAGTTACAGCGTGTCAAAACTAAGAAAAAATGACTTGCAGTCTACATTCTGCGCCATTCATTGGGCCATATGACGTCATAACCAGTAGAACATGTCATAACTGGGTATGAGAATATTAGCTATAATAAGGAACAGCGTGTGCTTTTGTGGTTATACTTAGACTACGTCAGCCAATCTCGTAGAGCACAATTTTACTGTCTGTTGGACCAATTAATTCATTGGGCCATATGACGTCATAACCAGTAGAACACGTCATAACTTGGTATGAGAATATTAGCTACAGTAAGGAACAAAGTGCACTTTTGTGGTTATACTTAGACGATCTTAGTCAATTTCGTAGAGTACAATTACTGTTTATTGGACCAATCATTTCATTGGGCCATATGACGTCATAACCAGTAGAACACGTCATAACTGGGTATGAGAATATTAGCTACAGTAAGGAACAGAGTGTGCTTTTGTGGTTATACTTAGACTACGTCAGCCAATCTCGTAGAGCACAATAACTGTCTATTGGACCAATCAACGCATTGGGCCATATGACGTCATAACCAGTAGAACACGTCATAACTGGGTATGAGAATTAAGGAGCAGAGTGTGCTTTTGTAGTTATACTTAGACTACGTCAGCCAATCTCGTAGAGCACAATTTTACTGTCTGTTGGACCAATCAATTCATTGGGCCATATGACGTCATAACCAGTAGAACACGTCATAACTGGGTATGAGAATATTAGCTATAGTAAGGAACAGAGAGCGCTTTTGTGGTTATACTTAGACTACGTTAGCTAATCTCGTAGAGCACAATTTTACTGTCTGTTGGACCAATCAACTAATTGGGCCATATGACGTCATAACCAGTAGAACACGTCATTACTGGGTATGAGAATATTAGCTACAGTAAGGAACAGAGTGTGCTTTGTGGTTATACTTAGACTACGTCAGCCAATTTCGTAGAACACAATCAACTACTGTCCGTTGGACCAATCTAATTGGACCTGTTAAATTTATGTAATACCTATACAATTCTTGTGGAAACTTCTAAGATTCATATATTTTGGATAATGTATTATACGAATTTAATCATCAGTGGTGGAAAAACATGTTATGTTTCATTTTTTAAACACCCTACTACTGAAATGTTGCATAGAAGTATTATTTAATAGAATTGATAAACATAAACATATAATTCTTATTAGCAGCCACCGATTACGACATCGAACGAGATCAAAAATCTAAAATCTCAATGCCTAAGATTAGCTAATACAAGTGATTACGTTATAATCGTTAACGGGTCTAATTGATACGGTGTTTGTTTGGATTACATTTTATCACTTTAAAGAAAAGGAAGCTAGAGAAAAGATGGTTGTATTTTTTTCAAAGATAAGCGTCAGTTGATACTCGGGTGGTGTAAGAGGGGGCGAGATTTAACGTCAGAGACGGCTCCTGAGCTCAGTTTGTGTTTTGCTCCGGTGTAGGTTGGGTGTGTTTAAAACGTTACACAGTTGAGTAAGTATACCTACGTGCCCTTAATGCTAACAGATATATGATGTTAGCTAGCTTAACATTTATTACAAAAAATATTAATTTACTAAGTATTAAAATCCATAGACTAAATAGTTTCCTTAATGACGTCAACACGTAATAGGTCTCTAAATGTGTTTATGTTAATTTGAAAACGTATAATATTTAATTTGTAGTCTGTTTGTGGGCAAAAAATTGTAACTTAAAATTAAATTTTGCAGCCATCCTGTTGACTGATTATTTTTCAAATGATTTTCTTTAAATATTTTATCACTATTTATCGAATATAAAGTAACTGTGTTATTTAATATAACTACAATAAACATTTTGGTTCACTGTAATGGAATAGCGATTGCTATGATATTATTGGAAATTCAACTGAGGAATCCATTAGATAAGGTAATATAAATAAAGCCTACTCGTTAATATAAATTAGTTAAGCGTCTGAAGAGTGTTTATTTAGTCTTGAGGATTATCTTTACAGCCCTAAAGCAATTTTATCTGTTTGGTTGAATCTTGTTTAAGGTTTACACTTCTTTTACGAGTAACATATTCAATTTTAAATATCTAACGCATACATCAAAATTCTTAATTTACTATTCAAGTTTTGAAAAAATGTACATTAATACATTCTGTATATGGTAACTATAATCTGAATTGTATCTATAAATGCATACGCTGTAATAGAGACGCATATGATAAAACGCACAATTTATTATTTATCCATTTTGAGTTAATCCATGTTTACATTGAGGTTTTCCCAAATAAAACTGTTTAGAGAATTTCCCATAGAGAAAAGGGTATTGCCGTTGTTCTCATGGTAAGACTTAGACCCGGGACTGAATTACTTTTTTGGTTTGATGTCCCCAGAGGCCAAAAACACAATTCGTTCAAATTCATGTGTATGTCTGTTAGCACGATAACTCGAGTAAAAGTCATCCGATTTGGATGAAATTTGATACAAACGTGTAAATCTACTTTTATTCGAATGAGTATTATTAGGTAAAAATTAAGTTTTCCAATATATGACCCTAAATTAAACATAGAGCTTAGCAATTTGTTTCCAAACCATTTTGTAGAGCAAAAAAAAAAAAAAAATTATGCGTTGTTGTACAGCTATGAAGAAAATTCCAAAAAAGTGTCAATTTATAATTCCTATGGATAATAAATAAATATTTTTTGTAGTTGCTTTATGGAAAAAATTTAGTAAATTTGTTTATTTCTTACTAAACTATAAAAAATTCTTAAAAACATACCTTATTACCTTCCCTGTATGAGCAAACCTAAGTACTCATTAAAATTAATGTTATTTAAATAGGAATTAAATCTGACTATTAATTCCAGTGGAATATGTTTGTGAAAATCCAACCAGGTAAATGAAAATTCGCCAAGTCTGCAGGCTTGCTGCGGTGGAGGTATTTAAGGTTTACGATGCGCAAAGGCAGGTACTATAAAGTCAGGATGATAGCCTTATGTATTGAAACGGTTTAAATGAACGCTTTATCTTTTGTTAGGATTATGAGTTACAGGGTTACACTAATTAATTATTAATGTATCTAACTCATCGATTTACATGGTTTCAACACAATTATGCCACAATTAGTTAGCAGCATTAATGCAATTAACAACGTCTTAGTAACTTGACGATGTTCACCGAACATGATATGTATAATTGTTATATATTATATAACATGTTCACCATAACAAGAGTAATGGAACCATGGTAACCAAATCACCTCAAGGGATGTTGAGGTGGTTCGTAAACCACTGTATGAGTAGAATACCCCCGGGACAGCAAACATGCAACCTAGTGAATTTAGATTTACCTGGCTAGATTTCCACAATAATATTTCCTTAAAATTATCGGTTTTATTTCCTGTTTAAATAACATTAATTTTAAATAGTACGTAGGCTTGCTGCTACAGGGGAAATTTGGGAAGTTTGGTTAAATTATATCAATGAACAAGCAAAATCTAGCAGTTGATTTACTCTCCTTAAGAATAACATAGGCATTCTTAATAACATGTTTTTATTTCTCCGTGACCGTTAGGCATATAATGACGCTTCTATATACTAAATGATGTATTTTTCCAAGCTCTATAAAATGGTTTAGAAAGACACATTGAAATGTTTTTACCCCATTAAAAAAACCCATAATTAAACCCTCGTTTCCATGGTCCGATCTTGCTGGTTTGCGAACTCGTTCGAATAAACGTAGGTTTCGTTTGCACAGAATTTAATCAAAATTGAACCATTTTCCCTCGAGGATCGTGCTAATGGACATATATATGTATAAATTGATTCGAACGGATGGTTTTTTGGCCTCTGGGAACCTCACGAAAGGAGTAAATCGGGCCCGGGACCATGTCTTACCATGAGACCTACGGTAATAGCTTATTCCCCAAATGGGAATTTCGTTGAAATTGTAATATTGAAAGGTTTTTTAGGCTAAGTATGAATTGTGATCTGTCCCTTTCTCAAAATTTATAAAGCGATTGTATACAGAATTCGACAATTGTAAAGGGTATTCGTAATTTGATTCTACATGTACATAGTGGAAAACGAACCTAGATTTATTTGTTTATGCTCGTCTTATTTACTCGACAACAGCTGTTGTGTAAGTGATTTTTAAATTATGAGTTTTTCGGAAAAAATTAAAATAAATCTTAGTAACTTAAGGACTAAAACAATTCTAACAATTTTGATGTTCCAAAATGGTGAATATTAAATTTTTAGAAAAAAGCAATTTAAAAAGACCTTTTTTTAAAATATATACTATAAGAGTGAAGACTTATATATAACAACGCTTTGACAATAAATCAGTACAAATTCTCTCTCTCTCTCTCTCTCTAAAAAAAAAAAAAAAAAAAAAAAAAATCCAGTCAATTTTTTTTTACCAAAGATTGTTAAATAGGCTACACTTTACATCAAGCACTATTTGTTATCGAGGTTCTTGTTATCAAGGTTACATTGTATCTGTATGTGGTAAATTTAAACCAGTTTGTTACTCTCAAATTTTAAAGTAAAATTAGATCCTTAATTTTAAACCAAATTTTTATAATACACGATAGATGAAAATACAAGCACCAAAATGAGAAAATCAGCTTAACCAAATGAACTAAAAGTTAATAGTTTTCAACTGAGGTTTGTAAAAGCATATTAGCATAGCTCGAGCGTTCCATGCAGCCCTAACTGTCAGCAATTCTCGCAACTAAATCATTCCTTGATTGTAATTTGATTACTGAACAAACTTGTGTCTCACAAAAACTTACTTACTTCATTCAGATCAAATTTTGAATTCAAGTAAGTTCATATTTTAAATTGATTGACTAAATTGTATTTATCTGTAACAGATGCTGTTAACATTTCGATACCACATGGGAACAAATTTGTATTTTTGTTGCTTTTGGAAGCAAACCTAAAGCAATTTTATTTAAACTGGCCACTAAGCGTAGCACTGAGTGTAAATTTCCATTTATTAAAAATTCAATTAGGCAATTAGATATTCGCCAAGTCTAACATAGTGGCTCTTTATTAGATTATGTGTAATAGTTTTTTCTAACAGGTTTCGAATATATTTTTGTAGACAAGTATTAGCCTTTTAAACTTCAAATACGAGTATTGTTTATTTATAATAACTAGTTGGTTGTTAAAACCTTATTAAAATGTTATTTATAGCTCAATTTGTTTGGTGTATTTTCTTTTGATTACCCCACACACCTGTTAGTCCATGAATTTAAAACGAATGAACATATAACCACAAACTCGTTCACTTATTTATTAAATGTAGAGATTTCATAAATTTCTTGAAGCTGGTCTTATTTACATGTTCGTATTTATGGTTCACAAACCTCTCCAGGGAGATATCAAACTTCACTTTTTATTGTTGTTACCTAAAATTAATTAATGTTGATTTACCAAATCTAAATACTACATACTAAACCTTAGGCAAGATATTATTAATTTTTTCCATACTTAAAATTCGCTGTCGTGTTTTATTTTTCTCACAACTACTTAGGCTACTGATTTATCTTTTCAAATATAAGGAAAAATCTTTTTTACAGAAAAAAATAAGATAACTTGGTTTGTGAGAACGATGAGGTATCATAAAGTACAGAGGATTATCTGTAATCCTTAGCAGGCGTGCCATGTTGGCTATGTAGCTATAAAGTGGATTATCACATATCACTGGCCAGAAGTCTCGGAAAACCAGAAATGTGCCTTTGATATCTGATCATCTCACAATTCATTTCCCTTTACAATTCCTTTGCCAATAGTGCACAATCCCTCTATGTATTTCACTGATGTCTTTTGGTTGATGACTCAATTGTTGTAAAACGACAAATTATCTAATGAATGAATGAATTGAATGCTTTATTCAACTAAAATTGCTACATCGTACAAATGTTTACACTTTTTACTTTCTCCCCCTATACCATAGTATATGGAGAAAGTATTGTTTTCGTCAAAATTTTCGAGTTTGAGTTTTGAGTGGATATATCCGTTTTGGGTCCCCCTGGACCCAAAAAAGTGGTTTTCAAAGTGATGTCTGTGTGTGTGTGTGTGTGTCTGTGTGTCTGTGTGTCTGTGTGTCTGTGTGTCTGTGTGTCTGTGTGTCTGTGTGTCTGGATGTGTACAGAGCTAGGGACTACACCTGTGGCCCGATTTCGATGAAATTTGGTATGTAGGTTCTAATCCATGGTATCTCCAGGCGTTTTTTTCATTTTTTTGAAATTTTGATTTTTAATGGGGATTTTCCCATAAAAACCCATAAAAAACCGGAAAAATCGGATTTTCTCGAAAATGGCCCGAACGATTTTGATAAAAATTTAGTATGTTGTAGCCCTTTAAATTCTGAACAAAATGGTACCAATCCCATATCTGTAAAAATTACGGTTCAAAAGTTATGGTAAATTATGTTATTTTCCCATAAAAACCCCATAAAATAACAAAAAATAGGATTTTAGAAAAAATCCGGTTTTATT